TTTCGTCGTCGGCACTTCCGGTCGCAAATGGAAGTGAATTCAAAAAGTCCCATTTTTCAACTTTTTTGTTTTTCGATATTTTTCTTTAGGATTTACAGGGTTTAAAGTGTGTCTAATGAGAATTCTAAATATGTGTTCCGTGTCTTGATGAGTGCATTTATTGAAAAGATATGACCAAACCAAACTTTGTCCCACTGTCGGGGGTTCGAATCCCGCCGTGGGCGTTCCCAAATTTTTTTCTTTTTTTCTGTCATTTTTCAATTGCAAATGCCTTTTCTCACTTTTATAACATGTATGAAATATTTTGCCGATTTTTAAAAGCTATATTTAAAGATATTTTGAGGTTTACCTTTAATAATCATGATATATGTTGAAAGACTGCTGTAAATGAACGTAAACAAAAAAAAATTCTGAAATCTATTTCATGGGTTGACGCAGCATAGAACTCTAACGAAAAGTCGGTCGGAAGACCGCTTGTTGCTCTAGCAACAAGAACGCATCTAGTTCTTATTATTTTTTTTTCTTACCGATTTTGTGCACGCGATTTCTCGAAAACGGCTCGTTAGATTTTTATGAAACTTTCAGGTCTGATAGAACATAAAAAAATCTCGATACCCTTTTTTTCATTTTGATGAAGTCACTTCGGGTTCGGAGATTTTCGAAGTTTTGTGATTTTTTAGGGTCAGTTTGTCCGTCGCTCTTCTTAAAAACCGCTCATAACAGGAAGATGAAACCTTTTCAGGAAGATAGAGCAACATATGTAGATTTGCATTGTGTTGTTAACTTTCACCGGAAGTACTGCACGTTAATGATCGGTATGGACTAAAAAAGTCATATTGAGCGTTTCAAAATTTCGAACACTTTTTCTATTACATCATTTTACTTGTAAATATTTTGTTAAAACATATAGAACAAAAGTTGTGAAGAATTCTGAGATCTTTCAATTGATATCTCAAGAAAAGGGCTGACCCCTAAAATAAGGGATCTAGAGGGGCCAAAGGTTTTAATTGATATCTCAAAAAGTATTGAGAATTTGTAATATATCAAAGAAGCAAAGTTGTTTAAAATGTCAAGCTTAATCTATTTGTGTCATCAAAATATGCCCGGCGTCGTCAACTTCCTTTCAAACCGGAAGTAGTAAAAAACACGTATTTATGCTGTTTTTGTCAAGTTTTTAGGTAGCATATGTCTCTGAGAGCATAAAAATTAATTTTCCGTCCGTCGTCACCACTTCCGGTTTAACCGGAAGTAGCAAAAATTGCATAATTTTGCATAAATTAACGGTTTTGATGCAAAATTGAAATTATATAGTCACTGTAGACTTCTTATCTCATTGCTTTCTTTTGTTCCGTCACTTCCGGCACTTCCGGTCAAAACCGGACGGAAGACCTACTCGTTGCTTTGCAACGAGCTCGGCTCTATTTTTTTTCTGTTTCTTATTATGTCGCCCCGAACGAAGTCGGGGACGACATATTGATATTGTACGCATGTTTTTTTTATCCAGGCTGTTTCTCGGAGATGGCTGGGACAATCTTCCTGAAACTTTCCTCAAAGGACGATCACTGGTTGTAGTTGTGCAGTGAGGTCGTTCAGTTCCAATATGTCTACCGTTGCCATGGAAACCTGTAAAAAGCGACGAAAAACCTGTAAAAAGCGACGAACTTTGTCCGCGAGAGTTCTCTCTGGTCCCTTAAACGTTCGTCATGAAATTTTTCTTATTTTAATGATTAGTATCTGTAGTTGTGCGATTCGCACTTTAAATTTTCAAATAATCGATTATTGCCATGGAAACCAGGGGAAAGTTTAAATTCTTTAATTTCGATTTCCTCAATAACTACGCAAGCAATCGTTTTGAAACTTTCAATGTTTATTCCTTGCAATGTGTCAAAGTGATTTCTACTTTTAAAATAATTGTAATGAGTCGCTCACAGTTGCCATAGAAACGAAACAGAAAAAAGGTTAAGATGTACACATGTGTTCTCCAAGGTCTAGGTCAAAGGGTCAAAGTTCTTCGTATCCAATAAAACTTCTTTTCACAAGGATTACATATTTGAAATACGAAAGCCCTAGCCCTTACTGTTCAAACGTTATGGCTAAGGTACTTTGTTCAAGACGACCCCCCCCCTTTTGAAGCGCACAGCCAGGTAGAATACACAGATATAACATATACAACTTACAAGTAACGTTTTAAAAGTTTCATTCATAAAATTCAGTTCCCGTAATGTGATATTTTGCCATCATTCAATCTCCTTCTGTTTTGTCTCTTGAATTTATAATTATTTTATTTTATCTATATGAAAAAAAATAACGATTGTCAGCTGCATTTATTATCATTTCGCGTTTTCTTGTATATCTATTACTTGTATATTATTCATTTCATTAGATAGTGCAAGGATAAATTAGGAAATTGGTACGTCATTTCCATAGTTTTTATTCATTCATAAATCCATGGATCCGCTCCTGCAGGTGCGCAAAGCCTTGATCACCACTGTATACAAAACATTCATCTCGCCGAAAATGTTCATGATTCCGCTAAATTGAGAAAGTTTACACATGATTTATCATCTCATAACAAACATCGGCTAATTGCAGTGCAGAAATGCTCGAATTGAAGGTGGCATGTCAGATACGTTTTCCGGCAGAACCTCTAAAAATCAAAGTGAAAGTAGGGAAATTTCAGAGTTCTCACTGGCGTTATAATACACAAAATAATTCGGCTGTTCTTCTTAATAAATTACACTTGCCAAGCTTTTTTGGTAGGAAAGATACTGCCAATTAACAAGTATGAGGCTCAGTTCAGTACATATGCCCAATTTCTTTTATGTAAGTCTGCAAATTTAGGAACTTGTAATTTTTTCCTGCACTACTTTCTTCTCCTACCGATTCTAAAAATAATTAAAGGGATGTACCCAATTAAGGTCTTCCGTTTCCAACGGAAAGGACTGATACGACTCGATGGTTGTCCAAGCTTAGCTAATGGACCATTGTTTTAGTGATCATAAAAATGAAAATTTTGTCCAGTAAGGGGCGACATATGCTATTGCTTGCAATAGCAGACTTTCTAATTATTTTTCTTCTTCTTCATGGGCACTTTTTTTGTCCGCGAGTGATCTTGTTAAATGTTCACCCGAAGTAGGTAAAACCTTTAAAGGGTTAGTAGACATGTTATGTATATTTGAAGAATCAAGGTCATTTTCCGCGCTTATGCTTGCAAAAGCGTGTACGTGCAACACGTGAAATGACCAATATAATAGATATAGCCGTAACTTTTTTATGTTTTGACTAAATGCTTTGAAACTTAAAATATAAGCTTATATTAGTTGTATAGGCATGATGAAATGATCATTGCGCACGTGCTTTCAAGAGCGCGCACGTGCAACATGTGAAATGACTAACATAATAGATATAGCCTTAACTTTTCTATTTTTTGACTATATGCTTTAAAACTCATTATATAAGTTTATATTAGTTGTATAGGCATAACGACATGGTCATTGCGCACGTGCTTGCAAGAGCGCGCACGTGCAATACGTGAAATGACTTATATAATAGATATAGCCGCAACTTTTCTATTTTTTGATGAAATGCTTTGAAACTTATAATATGAGGATTTATTAGTAGTATAAACATGGAGACATAGTCAAAAAAGCAATATCTCACGTGCATGCGCATGCACTTTGCTCTGATTGGCTTGTTTCTTTCTTGTTTTTCGACAAAATCCTTTGAAATTTTGAACATATTCATACACTATGATACAGCATGATCTACAGCATGATATATCAGATTTGTCATGAAAACATGTGCATGCACGTGTGCTGCAATCTGATTTGCTAAAACTTTAAATGTCTGTAACTTTCTTGGTTCTCAACAAAAGGGGATGAAATTCAGAATATGAATAGGTATAATGGATTCCTAATTACGCTTCTATCAAATTTGAATGCAAGGACATGCATACATGCACGTGCGCATGTGTAATACGTAAAATCACCAAATTGATATATTCGAAAAATGGTAACATTTAAATTTTTATGATATTTTGATTGATTCTCCCAATATAAAGATAGATTTATGGTTTAAAAACATGAATTGATCATCTTGCATGTGCATGCAAGTGCGTGCGCGTGCAATACGTTAAATGGGATATAGTTGATATCATTGTAGTTTTGATAATGCTTTGATGAAATCTTTTGATGCTGAGCATATTTTTAAAAAAAGTCTTACAGAAAAATGAAACAAAAAGGGAGTTTGGGAGGATTTAGGGAACATCTGTAACGGTTCCCGTTACAACTAAAACTAGTTTTTCTTTTAAATAATTAGAATTGGATTCATGTTAAATGTAAGAAAACTAGAAACGAATTGTACAATCAGTCAATCAATTTTTTCTCTTACTTTTCACAAAGGAAAACTAGTACTACGCACTAATTTATTTTCCCAGAGCAGGAATCAAATTACATGTAGCAAAATGTCAAACATTTCATTTTCAATTTGCTTATTCTTTGCCAATTTATGTTATTTATCGTAACCTTCATGGGTTTTAAAAACCTTTTCTATGGTATCTCACAGAAGTGTCACGTTTTGGGTAATTTTGGATGCCGAATGTACATAGTTCTGGTAAGTAAGACACATTTAGAACCAGTTTTCACAATAGTTAGAACACTTATATAAACATGTTTAGTCCTCTTTTCAAATTCAGATATATATATATATATATATATATATATATATATATATATATATATATATATATATATATATATATATATATATATATATATATATATATATATATATATATATATATATATATATATATATATATAAGAAAAAGAAAATGCAGTTTCCAAATACCATTTAACACAAGCGCTTTCTGGATTTCATAATCCGTCTTCAGGTGTACATATTTGAACTGATTGAACTGCACAATATATGTATATATTTGTCGGGTATTTAAATTTCATTGTGATATTTCCCCCCAGGAGTTAGGTTTAGTTATATTGAATAACCACTTGCATTTTTATGTCATACCAAAGTTTGTCAGCAAAGTCATTAGTAGGTCAATTCGAAAAACAGTGAGTATAAAATATATTTTTGCAAATTATTGTAAATATCTAAGTACTTAGATTTGCATATACTGTTATAGCTCAAAGATGATCAATATTTGTTACTAGTATCTGAAAAGATTAGAACAAATCTACAATTATCATGATTATTAATGTCCTGTAAACGACAATTAAATGTGACTTTAAAAATATGGAACAAAACTTGCATTATTTTTGCAGCATGAGCTCACAATTGCTTTCTTTTTCTTATGATTTTTTTTTTTCAGTTTCAGATGGCAGTAGCTGAAATAAATGTTTCCAACGCAGCACAACACTTTATAGAGTGTGACATTGAAGAATGTGGCAGAAATTGTGAGTTCTATTGCAACCTTTGCCATCAAAGATTGTGCAAACAATGCAGAGATGAACATCTGAAAAGTCCAGGAAACAAGAACCATGAGGTGGTCCTTTACCAGCAACGTCAACGTCACGTTCCTGTGGAGAAATGCAAAATCCACCCCAATAAAGAAAAAGAAATGCTATGTGAAGAATGCCAAATTCCAGTGTGTTCCAGATGTGTCACACAAAGAGAGCACCGGGGGCATACATTTACTGATCTGGAGATAAAATATGAAGAAAGATATGCGGATTTCCAAGAAGAACTCTCCAAAACAACTGTGTACTTTCTTCCTACATCAAAAGATTTACAGAAAGAAATTAAAAAGGATGTCCAGGACATCAAAGACACCATGACAAAAATGAAAACATCCATGAAGACTGAAGGTGAGTCCCTGAAAAGTCTGGTTGACACAGTCGTATGTGAGAACATGAAGGAGATGGAGAAGATAGAGCATTCTTTATTGGATGATTTAAACACTCAAGACAAGACCATTGATGATTACATCACTTATCTAAATAACCTTAAGAAAGAGCTCCACAAATCCTTGTCCTCTACAGAACCCCAAAAATTAATGTCCGAGAAGAAGCCAAAGATCCGATCAATACCGGAGACAACAAAACCAGCCACACCAGGGTTTACTGCTGGTCAATACAACAAAAGTGATGTCACCAAATTACTTGGTAAAATGCAAATTCCCGGTATTAAGGCAGTGAGAAGAAAAATAAAGCCAATGGAAATAAGAGAAATAAGGCCAGCTCCTAGACCGATAACTGCATCTGCCTCTGTCATCAGGGTCAGAGAATTTAAAGTACGAGGTGTCAATAGGGTTTTTCATATCATACAAGATCAATTAGAGAGACTCTGGATCAGTGACAGTAATGGAAATCTTGTCCAAGCAGATCTACAGGGGAATGTGATACGGAAGATAAGAACCAATGGATCTCAAGGCTACCACACAGTCACACAAGACGGCGAGCTCATCTTTACAGATGGAAATATGAATACCATCAACGGCATAAACCAGAATGATGCTATTTTTACTTACTTTAACACTTCAGACTGGGTACCACTCGGCATACACTCCTCACACATCAATGGGGACTTACTAGTGGGAATGACAAAAAGTGGTAAAGCTAAAGTCACCAGGTACAACAAGACAGGAGAAGAACTACAGACCATACAGAGGGATAACAATGGAGATGAAATATATGATACACCACATTATATCACAGAAAACATGAACGGAGATATCTGTACATCAGATTCTCTACTGGGAGTAGTGGTTGTGAATAAATTTGGAAGATATAGGTTCCTTTACAGAGTTCAGGAGTCAAAATTCCGTCCCTATGGAATCTGTACTGATGCCCTCAGTCAGATCCTGGTGTGTGATGGATACAGTAACACTGTTCACCTCCTTGATCAGGACGGTCAGTTCTTGTCTCTATTACTCACTCCACAACACGGGGTGAAGAATCCTCTTACTGTGTGTGTGGACGATGCAAACAATCTCTATGTTGGACAAGATGGCACCCAAATCGTTGCAGTGTATAGTTATCTGCAGTGATTCGAATTTGCTTATGTAAGTTGTCGTGGAAAAAATAAATGTTCACCATTTTTAGATCTAAGTCACTTTGATATTCAACTAACATATTTAAATAAGAAATAATAATCACTATGCTTGTCGTGGTAAACCTATATTATTATAATGTACTATTGATAATCCCTATGCTTGTCTAAGGAATCTGTAGATTTCTTTAAAATTATAAAAAATATTATTGATGCATTTATTAATACAATTTTATTATTGTATGTTGTAACACAATTGGACCATACCGTACATATAAATAAACTACATATTAACTTTTTAATATATTGTTTCGTATATTTGATTAATAAGGACATATGTGTATAAGGCATAATAATCCTTATATGTCCTCGAGAATCATTTAGGTTCTTATGCACTTTATTTCTATTTACTAACTATGTGTTTAATGTAGTCAATATTGTTGTAAATATTAATGTGAATTATTATTGGTCAGTGTTGATGTGTTATCAAAATTAAATCAAAGATCAATATTTGAACATTTACGTGGTCAGTATCCATTATTGGTATTTAATAATTAAATGTATTGGAAAATAACTTGATAACATTTATTGACCACATTCAGAATTGTAATTGAACACTTGATTAAATCTGCAAGAAAATCGATCGAAGCAATTTCATAAATGACTTAGAAGCTTTCCAATAATTAATTATTAAACCAGGATCTGATGATTGGAAATATGAAGATACATGTATATATAATATTATATATTCGGAGACTGGACGGGCGTAGGACAGATCTAGAGAGAGAACAAGAACTTTATACAAACGTTTCAGACATACCACTATACGAACTTTGTGCCCCCCTGTACTAGTTACTAGTTTGGCTTCCAGTGGATATACCAAGTACTAACTCTATAATATTTTTACTGTACCAGTTACATGTAACTGTATATGCATGAACGTTTATATTGTGCAACAGTGACATAATAAATATATATATAACCGTATCCAAAGTCGTTGTGTTATAATGTTTATCTAAAATCAGTTTTTAGGTCATTACTGTGCATTGTGAAACGATGGTTTAGAAACATTTTAAGTGGGTCAAATCTATGCTTAATTTGCAAAACGACGTTCTTATATAGTTCTTGTAGAAGAATACAAGTATACAAGTTCCTTCCATATATAGGAAAATGGATTTAAAAAAAAAACAAAAAAAAACAACACCTTCCATATTCTGGGTTATAGATATTAAATCTCAATTTTTAAAAGTCAACCCCGAATTAATTCGTACCTATTTATTACAAAGTTTAAACATTATTATGAACATAAAAATTTGAAGTTCCATCTGCTGCAGAAGAAAAACAAAATACATAGATTTATTTTTGGATGCAGGACTTCAACATTCAATTATCATGAGAATTATTAACTTCCATTATAATTTCCCCTAAATCAAATAAAAAAAGCTGTATTCAAATTTTCTTTTTTTTCGGACCAAAAACCGGTACAATGGACCTAATATCTCCGGTATATAAAGAAGAATAAGGAGAGGCTAGAAAGAGACATTGAGAGAGTCTTTGGATCCCTAAATTTCTCCCCTGGACTGGATTAGCACTTTGATTTAATGACAATTTTGGCGACTTCGAATTTACTTTGGCAAAAGGACTTGACTTCTTATTTAATGAATATTATATCAAAAACCTTAATATTGTCTGATGACTTTTTTTATGACTTTATGTCTGTAATGTAATAAACGAATTAAAGTGTTAATGATCTTGTCTTTATTCTAGTTCGGTACCTTTACAATATTCAAAATTTAGATTTGTAGCAGATTTAGATGTACATCTCTATGCTCAGTCCCCAACAAGTTATAAACTTGAAAAATAACAATTTCATTTTTTTTACATTTCTTGTGAAACCTCTTTAACTGTGGTACGGATATTGTACTCCAGTTGCTCTTATTTCATTCTGGTCAATAATAAAAGCTGAAAATACTGATACATGTAAATCAATATTTAAAAAAACCGAATGAAAAGGCGTAGTATTTGAGACTGTATTCAAACAAAAAACTACACTGAAAAGAATTGATTGAAGCCACAGGTTTAATTATATTTGAAAAATGCCCTAGGCTTACTCATTATTTTTCTCTATATTTGTGTGAGCAAGTTTATTACAAATTTTAAATTGTACTAAGTCTTCACGTTTTATGTCACGATGCTCATGCAATCAGAAATTAATAATAATATTTTATTTTCTGTTTTGGCATAAAAGTATACACTTCTTGTTTAAAGCTCATGTAAAAACAAACTTAAACCTAAGGAAGGAAAGTTATATTTGCTCGCCACATACATGTATCTATTCTCTCAAGACATTATTGCACCAACCCTTTAAGAATATAAGCCTCAACTTTGTAGATGGTCCAAAGTATCTCGCTGTACAGATTTTATCTACGAAAATGTCTCTTTTATTCTCATTGTGATATACTCTACGTGACAAAAATACATTTTTGGCTCTGACAAGAAAAAAAATTACCGGTTCTTAAATTCGATATCAGTCATAGAAATATCTATTACAAAATAAAAGGAACAAACACGTTCGTTCAAAATAATTAAATGTAAAGAAATTGACAACGTAAGATATTTGGTATTACTTTATGGCCTTTTTATCTTGAATATTGTTCGAAATCTTCACATGTTCATGCATGCACTATATGACACAGCGGCCAAATATTTAAAGTAAATTAGCCTTCAAGTGTAATGAATGCGCAGGATTTGTGTATGCCATTGGGAGCTATTGACGGGGATAAGAAAGTAGAATTGTTAATGCCTATTAACCAATCGGTTAAGATCTAAACTACTTCATCAAATAAATAGTCTATTTATTAAAATTTAAAAAAAAAGGCTTCGAAAAAAATGACGTACATGATAATTCCACAAACTATTTAAAGTAATCCAATAGAATAATACATAAACGCAAAAGAAATGTGACAAGCAGCAACCTACAAATACGTGTATTTATAATCTTTATCAGTTGATTTTCAAAAATGGATACAGTGTGGTAAAACTCAATTTGAATGCACCAAAGATTAAATAGAAATGTTAAATTATTTTCTTATAACTTTAGAAAGTTACAAATAACTGTTAAAAAAAACCTACACACAGGCCATTTAATTGAAGCGTGCAAAACAGTCAATCATGCACAACAATTGCAGTTTGATTTTTCGATTCAATAGGTTCATCAATCTAGAGATCTGAGCGAAAGAAATGTTCTTTGTCATTTTAAAATTTATGTTTTTAGCGTTCACATTGAGAATTTAATGCGAATTAGTTTAATTCGAATTAGTTTACTGCGCATTAAATTACTTTGCAGTAGCTCCGTGTTAACGCTAAGCGAAGCTAAATCGAATTAAATTCTGATGAATGCGTACGGCAAAATATAGTCAAATTCCACTTGTTGGTGGTCAGCTATAGGTACTTTTTTTTTTTTGAGTGAAAAACTTGGCCACTTTTCCATTATGTCAAATGGATCTGCTTCTGCATAAGGTGACATGATTTGCAAATGACGTTTTAATAGCCGTGCTGACGCCGGGCTGCAGAAGTAAAATTTTAATTCAAATTAGTTTACTTCGCATAAGCTATCGTGTGAACGCAGATTAATTCGAATTGGTTTGATTCGCATTAGTTTTATTCGCATTAGTTTACTTCGCATTAATTTACTGCGAATTAAACTTGTCGTGTGAACAGGGCATCAAATTATGACGTCGCATTTTTTCTATCCTTTTGCAGTTTTGTTACCCTTGGACTTCCTGTCCAAGGACTGTCATTCATGCTAATGATACATGTACATATACGAGCTTCTTGAAGCGTGAGTTATTTTTTGCATACCCAACTCTCCATAATCTTTATTTTGAGATTTTCATACTTAGAGCATTTGAAATGTGTACTTAAGTCAATCTCAGGAATTTTTTTTATCGCCTACGGAAAATAAAGGAGTATTAAATTTTATTTTTCGGAATAAATCTGCATTACGAGAGCCGTTCAAAAATTACGCGTACTTGTTGCACAGAAGAAATATTTGATGACATAATCTGGCAAAATTTCACAAATAATATAAAAGAATCGTTACTTATATGGTCTTCAAAATTTTATATCAAAATGTTGTAGATTGGTATTAATTTTGAGTAATTTTTCAGGACATGCCATTAAGTCACGGCGCTGCAAAATCTTCTACGTTACAAGCATTATAAAAATTATGTGATTGAGCTTTCATTTTCTCAACATTTTCCCTTGAGTACCTGTATAGTTTAAGTTACCTTATCTACTCAACATCAAAACATCATTTCTTGATTAGCTTAAAATCTAATAAACAAACAAAGAATATTCTTTCTTTGTCTTAAAACCAAAAACTACTTATGAGATATAGTGTGATATTGGTGACTCTCAATCACGTTCTTAACAGTCTGGATAAAGTTAACTTTTCGTATAAAATCTTCTTCCCGTCCTCCAGTATAGGTTTTTTACAGAGGTCTAGCTGTCTAAAATTTCAATTTCAAGCCTACTTTACTACATGTTTAATTATGCATATTTTGGATCTATGTTGCCGATATCTCGAGCATTACACGTATTTTAAACAAAGTGGGGTGCGCCATCAATTCAGGAGACGTCATTTTCACAGTCGTTTTCACTGGAATTGCATCAAAGAAAAATTACTATATTTCTGTTAGTACTTCAAATATTACGTCCGAAATCTAAATACATAATAATAGAACAATTTAAAGGTACATTTGAGAAAATTGTTGAAAAATATCGCAAATTTTAGAAAATCAATGAGTTAAATTTTTGAATCCGCATGCTTTTGCTTCAATTTTTGTTGTTGTGCGCCGTACCTCTCAATCAACGATATCAACATATCGATAATTTTAGTAGAATTTTTTTAAAATACAGAAATTTTGCCAAAAATTTATTGGAATCTTTAAGATACACATTTCTGTGAAATTTTATAACTATATGACGTCTGTAAGAGTAAATAATTGCACAGTCCGCGTAATTTTTGAACGGCCCTCGTAGTTACAACTTAAACAATAAAAACCCTAAAAATCCCATATTATTGAAAATAGTTTTTTTAAATATGGCATTTTT